GGTGCTGCTGCTGGTGCTGCTGCTGGTGCTGCTGCTGGTGCTGCTGGTGCTGCTGCTGGTGCTGCTGGTGCTGCTGGTGCTGCTGGTGCTGCTGGTGGTGGTGGTGGTGGTGGTGGTGGTGGTGGTGTTGGCGGCGGCGGCAGTGGCGGCGGCGGCGTTGGTGGTGTTGGTGGTGGTGGTGGTGGTGGTGGTGGTGGTGGCTTTGCTGGTGGTGCTGGTGGTGTTGGTGGTGTTGATGGTGCTGGTGGTGTTGGTGGTGTTGGTGGTGCTGGTGTTGTTGGTGGTGGGTTGTGGCGGTCGTGGTTGTGGCAGTGAAAACAGCAAATCAGCAACTGAAGCAGCAGCTGCGCCAGCATTAGCAGTTCCAAAGCTCTCTTTCATCCCCTTCAAATTTTGATGTAAAACACTGATGGGCATTGTGCCGACCCACCTGAGCAATGCATCTGTCAGTGCTCGCAATCCTCCCTGTCGGTACAAGCACGAGGCGATCGAATCCTGCATCACGGGACCATAACTCAGCTTCATGCTTGGGCAGGCAGTAAACCAATCCAGTCCTGTTGGAACCGCTTCCGTAATTTCCGCGAGATGGTCATCCAAAAGTGACGTCCACTCATCGAACGACTCGGATCCTGCTTATGGCTAATACTGATGCATTTCGTTGCCCTAAAAATTCCAGGACACGGACACACTGTCCCTCGTTTTCAAAGGTTTGTGCAACATGACGTGCTTTCCAAACGCAAGCCAAAAATGGCAGCTTTTCAGTTGCCTGGCTAACCCTTGCCCGCACACTGCGCATGGTGTTCTTTCCTGCTGGCCTCTTCAGCAGTGGCTTATTAAAACGGGTCGCAATTGCCAAAATACAGAGGTTCCTCGTGCTAAGCTTGGGGTGTACACTCGCAACACTGTACAAGCAGGACTCCGAATGCAAAACACAGCAAAGATTGGTATCCACATGCATCCACCCATTTCAGCATGCTTGTCCCAGAAGCTCCTGGTGTGGGAGGCAGAAACTTGTACTCGCCCGCATCCTTGGGGGCCAGCGATGAACTCTTGTGGATCATCCCTGAAACACTTCAATCACTCAAAGCAATGAGTGCTTCTGCATGGCAGAATATCCACTGATCGTCGTTTACTCATGGCCCATCTTGTGGAGTCGGTTCCCTTCCTGCCTACGCCACGCTATAGGTTGTCCTTCATCATGATCGCAGGGAACTGGCAACTGTACTGTTATTGAGCTTCCTCCTATTACTGCTACAGCAACTGGCTACACTTCTACTTCACGTCTTCCTTGCTACCACCACTATGACTTACACGATTACTACAACTACAATTTCGCTGCTGCTGCAACTACTCCTCCTCCTCCTCCTCCTACTACTACTACGACGACGACTATTACGACGACGACTACGACTACGACGACGACGACGACGACGACGACTACTACTACTACTGCTGCCTCTACATTGCGCCCTCGCCACTGCTGCTGCTAATACCTGTCCGAGCGCTTTGTTTACTAATTCTACTCATGTCGCCCCCACAAACCATCCTGTACTTCGGGATCGGGCTTGCGCAAGTTCAGTTCGAAATGTTATGATTACCAACAAGATGTGCCTTGTCTCATCAACTTAATCAATTGTTGAATCGCTTCTGCACTGGAATGCCTGCACAATGCCCCTTGTCACCTGGTCACCCTTGCTACGAACACCATCTGAAATGCGATTCCAGGCACACTGGGCAAGCTTGCCTGGCGGCTCCTTGCATGGAACAAACCAAGGCTCGCTGCCGAATGCTGCCGTAAGGCGCGGACATGAATGCTAAAAACAGAAACCCTCGACAGCTCACGGAGCTCGATCCCAGCACAAGCCCTGGCTGAACTTTGGTGCAGCAACAACACACGCAGCATTCACACATGATAAGTCTACAATAGTCTACATATGCCAACAAACAGTTTAAGCTAAACAAATGCAAGCGTCGACGTGTAGAGTTCGTTGAGCGGTGAATTCCGCACCCTGCGGCCGTTGTTGAACAGCACTGCACCAATGTTTCTGCCCAGAGTGCAGACCTGCAAAGCAAGAACACAGCTCGCTTGCAGGTGCCGGCAACATCCGGCAACTGATGTAAGGCAAGGACAAGGACAGTCTTGTGACCTCAGATCTGCGCATGTTTTTAAGCTATAGTCTAAACTAGTCCCCTATATAATCCCCTATACAACCCCCCTCAGGGTCTCCTCCTAGTGCATGGATTTCCTGGGCGGCTCTAGCTCACGGACCTAGGGATAATGGAAAAGAAAATGGAAGCTATTATTTTGGGTTGAATGCTTAAGGTTTTAGGGCGTTAAAAGGGTTATATAGGGATAATGGAAAAGAAAATGGAAGCTGCTGATTTAGGAGTTTCCATCCAGCTTGGCAGGTTTAACATTGCAGCTGAGCGACGCCAAACCTCCTTGGATCGGCTGTCGCCCCAGACTAGTTCATGGTATCCTGAAGCAAAGAACAGCAAGGCTACAAACACTTCTCACCCCTTATACGTGCCGTGCTACAATCTGTGTCACCTCCTTCGGTCCTGCTCCAACCGTATGGATTTCTGCATGGAAGAAGGCCACTTGCCCCCTTTTTGTCAAGCTCTTGCGCAGCAGGTCTTGAACCTTGGCAACAGAAGGCATGAAGCTGTGACAAAAAAGCTTTCTCGTGCTAAGACACCGCTCAGTGAACATGTGACGATTGGAGCTTGCACCTACACTATACATCCAGGCGACTTTTTCTCGGCGAGTCTGATAATCCCCATCATCATCCTGGTAAAGGCTCAGCATGCAGCCAGCCAAGACTGCAATCAAAAACTGACAAAATTGTGGGTCCAAATGGTAGTTTCCCAAAATAGGGGGACCCCAATATAGACCCCTTATTATTGGGACCCCCAAAATGGTACCCCTAATTTTGGGAAATCCCCAAATCGTCAGCAGACTGACCCTGCCTCGGTCATGTTCTCCATCAGTGCCTGGCGCAAAGCAGCTTCACAAGAAGTCCAGAATCTGGTTGCTGCTCGGCCTTTGTGAAAGAGCAGCCGATGACCTTGTTCCAGCCAAAGTGCTTTCTGAGCTTTTGCAAGGTACCTTGCATGGAATGAACCATTCCGCCAAATTTCACTGCAAGGCTGCCTCTAAATGGCTAACAACTTCAGCCTGTGATAGTCTCGATGTTCTTCTGCCTGTCGGGCCCAAGCTCATGGCGAATCCGAAACGGTTCGCCTTGTGCCGGGGCTTCCATCTGCGCAGTGTCCGGTAAATGCTATTGGCAGCTAGGCTGCCGCTAAGCTCCCCAGTCTGGACATTGACAGGAGCTGCGATTCCAGAAGTCTGGCGCAACTCTACGCCGAGTGCCTCTACCTGACGCTCAAGGCACTGCCCTCAGTCCAAATTCACATTCCAGTGATTGACAGGTAAATTGAAACCCATGCAACGCTGCCGCAGGAATTGGAAGGATTCAATCTGCAGCACTGCCATGCAGCAAGCAGAGCATGCAAGTCCGCCTTCGGAAGCTCGGACACCGACACCTTGCCAAGTGGAAAAAAGGGCTGGGAGATCTGTGCCTGGAACTGCGCCCGTCATCTACTTCCGGACAGCTTGCACAGCCTCTTGCTACTTGCCTGAGCATCAGACTTCTTAGTTCACCATTTTCCCATATGAATACCTTTTAATACCAGTATTCTGAGTCAGCGAAATCATCCCCATGCTTATCTGAAGTGCGACCAGGCTCTAAGGCACCTGTCCTTAGTCTGCGGCCCGCATTGCCAACGCATCAGTGAAGCGGTCACAGTTTGCTCTCCCGAGGTAACATGCCTTTACAACAAACCACCAGTTTAAGGCAAGGGACTCTTTGGGTGCCACAGCCTTCTGGCGCATGAGGGCACGCAACAGCTCTAGTGGCAAATAACAATCCGCGCTTTTAGTGCAGGCTCAAGCCCTCACGTGCTGCCCTGTGGATTCACATGGTTATGTTTATAGTAAATCACCCAATATGCAGGAGTTACCAAGAAAGGATCCTAATTTGGGGAACTACCCACATACTCCAGAATGCTGCCCAGGCCTTGACTGTTAACATGCTTCGCCGGCGCGCTCGCTGCCCAGGGGAAGCAATGGCCGCAGATGAGCACAGAAATGCCTGCAGTCACAATTTTCTGTAGGCGCGAAAGAGGATTCCAAAATTTTGGGAAACCCTTATCCCTAATTCCCATACATCGTTATATAACCCTGTTTGCCTCATGCACCCCCTATAACCCTAAACCCTACAAGAGGTCCCTCCAAACCCCCCAAAAGCAGGAGAGAAGCGGCGGTCATGGCAGTCCACTTCGTTTGGGCCTGCACCTGGGCCTGTCAGGACACGTGGGGGTTCCGCAGTTTGGGTTTATGGTATGGTTTAAGGCTTAGGGGAATGGAAAAGAAAATCGAAACCACCATGGTATCCGATTGGGGTAATATCAGGGCTATAATGGGGTTATATGGGGATAATGGAGAAGAAAATGGAAACTATTATAATGAGTTATCGTGTCCCCACCTCCAACCAACGCCTGTTTTGGCCACAAGCCCCTGCAGGCCCGGGCCCCAAGTTCTTGGGGCCCCGGGCCGCAATGGAGGTCCAAAGCGCTGGGTGTCAGGCTGGGGGCTGCCCGAACATGAACATGTTCATCAGGCCCGCCCCACGCTAGGCTCATGAAGGCCAACCACTAAAAACAGCAAGGCTGCGCAGTCCCGGCAGCCTAGTTGGAACTAATCTTGTTGTGTCGAAACATCAAGGTTTAGGTTTGAGGCTTTGGCCGTGGCGATTTCTCCAGGCATGATTGGCGCTTGGCGGAACCGGCCCCCAAAATCCTGGGGCGCTGGTCCCAAAAACCTAGGTTGAGCATGCTGATCAGGGTGCCCACCCACCTCAGGCTCTCATCAAGAATTGGACAAGTCTGCAACAATAATGCAGTGTTGGTCCTGCACGGTCCCAGCAACCTGGCTTGTTGCGCCGATTGGGTGCCTACGCAGTGAATAAAACAAAGCTGCTGAGTCCCGGCAGCCTAGCTTGGACTAATCTTGTTGCGCCCATTGGTCTCGTGCCAGCCGCTGCAAACCTCAAGGTTTAGGGTCTAGGCTTTCGCGATTTCTCCGCCTGGGGGTCGGCGGACTGAGCCGGAGGCTCTTAAGTCCGGCCTGGCCATCATGGTCCAGTGCGGATGCATGCTTAAGTGTTTTTGGCTGTCAAAAATTAAAGTGATTTTTGGACGTGTTTTTGAATGTTTTGGGCATGTTTTTTAGGCCAGCATCATCAACACAATTGGGCCTTCGTTTCTCACTTTTGGCCACCTCAACATACCCGTGGACCCTTATATGTGTGGTGTCAGGAAGGAAATTGGGGGCCCAAACAAGCCCCATGATGCTCATGAGGGCACTTAAAATGCACTATAAATCCCAACAGAACGCTCAAAATACACGCTGTGGGCAGTGTTTGTGGCTGTAAATACCAGTGCTGGTAGGATCTGCACTGCATGACAAGCATGAGACAGGTTTGGCGTGCATTGCCCAGTCCAAACCCTATTAAATGTGCTTGTTGCGTGGTTTCTGGGTGTGTTTTGCCCATATATCCAGCACTTTTGCGGCTCCGAAGCTTGTCCAATGTGTGAAGCGTGGCTGCTATTGGCAGCTGATTTGCTCCAAAAATGCACTTGTGGGCGAGAACATGGTCGGCCTGCACAGAGAACCATGTCTAAAGTCATCTTTGATGGCTTTCCTTGGGTTCTTGACCCCTCCTGGGCCCAATCAAGCCAAAATGGGGTCCCAATTGTGCAGCTGATGATCCTGCACGAGGCGCGCGAGCGCACGCGCGTGCGCGAGCGCGCGCCTCGTACAGGAACATCATCAGCACAATTGGGACCCCATCTTGGGCCGCTTTCACGTAGAGAGAACAGGGTCTTCAAAACCTAAAAAATCCCAGGTAACAAGAACATAATTTTTTCGTGCACGTCTCTCGATCATGAGTATCAGCAAGGCTGGGGTGGGCTTGGCTTTCACTTGATAGCTGGGCGGGCAAGGGGGGCAGCGGCCAGGCCGGCACCTGCCGCCAAGCCCTATCTATAGCGTTTAGGGTTTTGTACAGATATATAAGGATCCCAGCTCAATAATGGAGAATCAAATGGAAAAGACATGGAAAATGAAATGGAATCTAGGTTTGTGTGTAGGGGTATCACCCTGACCCCAAAACCCTCATGTAGTGGCCCCTTTTTCGGCGCACAAGCTCTCTCAGTCCTATGATGAAATACTAGCGTCACCTAGAATACTAACTATAGGGGGATGTAGGCTGTAACCTGATCATACCTTCAGCGTTTTCGTACCTAGCCTCTCATGTTTCTAGGGTTTAGGGCTTGGGGTTCTCTCTTTGCTCTCTTTCCTGGGAGAGCTGAAAGTTGGCCTCGGCCGCGGTAGGCGCCGCAACGGCTGCTGGACCATGCCTGCAGGCCCACAGAGTGCCGGGCCTAAATCCTTAATCCTAAACCCTCAACCCTAAGTCCTAAACCCTAGACCCTTCATCCTAAAACCTAAATTCTAAACGTTTCATCCTAGAACCTAAACCCTAAACTGCGTGGCTTGCCTTGGAATGGGGTTTCGGGTTCGGGGGTTTTCCCGGAACTAGGGGTACCTTTTTGGGGGTCCCCACACACAGGGTTCTAGTATGTTCTAGCGTTTGAGCGTCTATATTGGGGGCCCCCTATTTATGGGAACTACCCTTTCACTACGAAGCTTCCATCCGATCATCAGCCTCGGAAGGCTGGGCCGCTGTAAAACCGGCTCAGGCAGTGCGGCAGACTGCATCGTGTGTCCTGGCTTGGCGCAACAAAAACCGAGACAAGAAATGAGTAGCGTTTTTTTTGGTGGTTGAACCTAGTAAGGTAATATTCCTTATATAAAATACTCTACCCCAAAAGGAGGATGTAATATTACTCTATATTGGGTACCATAGTATCCCCAAATAAAATACTACTCAAATGAGCAGTTCTCAGAAAACCGGCCCATCCGCAGGACTTCTCACAACCCACCAGATCTATCCCCATGCCATCAAGGATCTCAAAATAAAATGTTATGTTTTCATGACTCCCTTCACTCGCCTGGCACAGCCCGTTGGAGGACACGGCACAAGAATGGATGGGACTCGGCCCTCTAGCTTGTTACTGGCAAGCTGATGCTACGCAAATGCAGGAATGCTTGAAAGCTCAGAGAGGTTCGGGTAGCCGTAGTCAGCAGACAAGGTTGAAGGCAAAACCCTAAACCTTAAACTCTGTGGCTTCGGGCATGACATGACTCAAGACGGTTGACACTGGATGGAGCCAATGCAGCGGCATTTGAGCTACGGTCCAAACTTCTTAAAGAGGGGTGTATAGGGGGTTATACTGTGGATGGAGGAAATCTTGCACCACCTACATAATAGGCATCTTCTATGACTTGGCGATGCATCCCCGCACCCCCTTTTTAAGATTGACAGCTGTTCTGTCTGAGGCGGTGCAAGATTTCCGTCATTGGAACAAATT